TTGGAACTTACTTTTTAGTTTTACCAAATACATTTAAACTTGTTATTCTTGATATGGATGCTTTAGCAATAAACCCATCATCAACACCATCAACATCACAATCACAACCAAAACAAAAATCATCCACAGATATTCAAGATAAAGAGATCAGATCACCATTAGAGAAATTTATAAAACAAAAACCAGCTTTTGTTGGTAGAATAAATTTGTCAAATGAATTCACCCAAAAAGAATTTTTACAAACTTTAATTTCAACTAAAAAGAAACTTTACAACTTATATATCCACTCTAAAGAATTGGAATTTCAGTTACAAGAAAGAGTTAAAACTTTAAATGAAATAAGTCAACAACAATTAAAAATTATCGACGTTTTAAGAAATAGAATCGAAAATATAAAAGCAAATCAAGATTTATTAAATGAAAAATTAAAGTACGCTTGGAATAAAAAAGAAATTTGTACTGAACAAGTTAACCAACTTTATAAATCTGAAATGGAGGGTAAACCTTTATCAAACGCTGAAAATGATTTAAAGAAGAATCTTAGACAAATTAAAGGTCAAGTTAATATTTATTCTGAAAGACTTTCCCAAGTAAGTTTCAATATAATCTATATATACCAATATTAAATTTATGTTTATTAATATTATTTTAATAATTTTTAGATTTCCAACGAATTAGACAAAAATGAAGAAAATGGTATAAATGATAATAGTATTGAATACGAACCAATCCCAGAAGATAGCCATAGAGAAATTAAAAAAGTTTTAAGCTTACATGATCAAAAGATTGAAAAGGATGTTAACAAATTATTAAACATTTTTAAAACTATTCAAATAACAAAATAATCAAAAAAAAAAATTAAAAATAAAAAAATTAAAAATTGAACCAACATAATTATAATAATAATTAATAATATGAACAATAGTAATAATAGAAACAATTGCAATAAAAATAGATCAAACAAAAAGTAAATAAATTTACTATAATTTCTTTCAAATAATATATTTAATAAAAAAAGAGTGCGTTCTTATTTCGATTTCACATTACTTTTAAATTACTTTAAACTGTTTTACTCGTTCACTCATTTAATTTTTTTAACAACCACCAATATGATCATTTTAAATAAATACAAAAAAAAAAATAAAAAAAATAAAAACACATATGTTTTGTGTTATTTTGACGATATAAAAAAAATAATAAATAGAATTAGAACACACATTCAACTTCAAAAAACAAAAAACAATCGTGATGATGTTGTGTAGTGTTCTTTTGTTTTGTTGCTATTTTTGTTATATTGTTGTTGTTTTTGTAACTTATCCACCAACACACAATTTACCCAAAATAATAAAAATATATCTGATGTAAATTCTCACCCATTTTTAAAAAAAATTTTAATTAATCTTTAAAAACAGAGTAGATATATAATGAAAATCACATTCTATTAATTCTTTTATCTTTTTTTAATAATATTTAAGAGAATTATTATTTAATTTATTTGGGTATAATTATTGCCTGATAGCACATTTTTTCTCTTTATAAATCGTTCATTGGATTTTAAGTGACTTAAAATTAAATGGGTGTTGGTTCTATATTATGTTAACATGTGGTGATTTTTATCTTCCAATCCTTGTTAAAAACATCCAATATAATTTAAAAAAAAAATATTAATCAGGAGCCATTTTTTAAGTCATCATTTTCAAAAAAAAAAAAAAATAATTAAATTTAGGTTTGTTTTTTTAAAATTTTTTTAAAAATTTTTATTAATTTTTATTCCAATATGTTATATTGGCACACCGGTGTATCATATATTTTTTATCTTTTTTGGTGAATATGAGCTCCCATCAAGATTTACCCCAAATATCCACACATTTGAATATTACAAAATCCCATGTGGTTTTTTTATCATTTTGTAAATCTACCCACCCCAAAAAAAAAAAAAAAAAAAAAAAATTTAAAATAATTATTAAAAAAAAAAAACACATAAATCATTTATAACTTACCCCATTTAAAAATATAAATAAATATATGACTTAAAATTCAAACTTTATTCAATAACTTAGATTTATTACATTGACACACATATAATAACACACAGCGCTCCACACTCTAACACTCAACACAAATACACACACATTTACATATATATACAATTTTATATTTACACAAACACTCTCACATATCACACAAACATTCATATAACCAACCAACACTTTCAAATAATAAAAACAAAAGAAAAAAAAAAAAAAAAAAGAAACACACTTGAACCAATTAAAGTTGTTATTTAATATATATCAAAATCATTACAACTAAAAGGTAATATTGCCACTATCACTAATAAACATCACATAATCACTCTTTGTTTTTTTTTAATATTTTTTTTTTTAATAATTTTTTTTTTTTTTTAAACTTTATCATTATTATTATCATTACACATTGTTCATATGATTTATATATATACAATTATCAATATTCCCACACTAACTCACTCGTAAATTTTGATGTTTAATACCCACACACACACACACACAGAGACACTTTTATATATAATAGAGTGTACACGCTTCTTTTTTTTTTTTTTATTATAATTAAAAGGATTGTTTCTAATTATACAACAACAAAAATTTTAAAAAAAAAAATAATTAAAATTAAAAAAATTATCAGCGCTTTAAAACAAAAAAAAAAAATTGAATTCTATTTATTTTTTACTACCATTATAATTATAACTACAAATAAATAAAATTAACTTAAAATAAAATAAAAATTATTAATAATAAATTTATAATAACAATAAATAATATAACTTATCATTTTTTTTATAAAATTAATTACTAATTTTAATTAAAGACTTTTTTTTTTATTTTTTTTATTTTTTTATTTTTTTTATTTTTTTTATTTTATAAAATAGTATAATAAAATAACCATAGTTATTAAAAATAATATTTAAAAAAATAATATTAAAATATTAATAATACTATAATAACTATATTTTAAATAGTATTAAAAATAATAACAATATGAATGATATTCAATTTCACAATTTTAATGACCACTATTTAGACTCGGATCCACTAAGCTCATCAAAGGAGTCATTTCCATTTTATCATGAAAGCAAATTTATTAATGATTTCGATATTTTTAATATCGGTGAAACAAATACAACTCAAAATGATTTCCAATCTCAACCATCAACATTAGATGAAGATTTTCTTAGTACCCCCGATATCTCATCAAATCAAATTAAAGAAACCAGTATGTCAAGCTATCAAAGTATTGCCTCGTTTCAATCCGAATTTGAATGTGATCCAATAAATTTTAATCAGGATTCACAAAATAACAACAATTATAATATAACCCAAAACCAAAATAATAATTTCCAACCTCCACAACAACAAAATATACAAATACAACAACAACATCAACAACAACAACAACAAATACTACAACCATCCAATTATTTTCAATACCAATTTGTTGAACAACCAATTCAATATCAACAACCTACTCAACAAATACAAAACCAACAAATAAATTTACAACAACAACAATATCAAAGTCAACAACAACAACTAACGCTACAACAACAACAACAACAACAACAACAACAACAACAACAACAACAATTACTACAACAACAACAATTTTTTCAACAACCAATATTTATTCAACCACATGACTCACAGCAGTTCAATCAATTCTTTCATCATTACCAAATGCAACAATATTATATTCAACAACAAAAACTACAACAAATATTTGCACAAAATATGCAACAAAACCAAATCTGTTTTTCAAGAAACACCCCTTTTTATACTCAATGTGGTATTATCCCAATAACAGACAATACAACAAATACTCAAATTCAAGTAGACCAATCAACCAATCAAGCCTATATGGCCATGGTTTATAAACAAACTGGTGACTATTTCGCACACATTCAAACGAAACCAGAAGATTCATTATCCCAAAGTACCTCATCATCCTCCTCATCCCCAACAATGACCTCCGAAATAAATAATTTAAATGAGGTTTTTGAAAAATCTGTAAATATCCAAACACCTGTAAATACTCAAACATCTGTAAATAATCCAACATCAACTACAACAACCAACACAACTACAACAACAAAAATTCCCATAATAAAGATTCCGAAATCATCAAAAAAACTCCCAGGTAAAAGAAGAAAAGTTTCAAAGTCATGTGAAAACCTAAATTACACAAGCTCCACATTCTCTTGGAATGGAAATAAGGGTTTATCCATATCGGCTGGTGTTCTTCCATCACGTGAAACTAAAAAAAATACTCCAAAAGAAGAAAAATTTTCATTTGAAGAAGGAAGAAAAACCTATTTATGTAAAAAATGTGGGGATGTTAAAAAGAATCATAAATGCCCAAAGGGTGAACCACAAAAAAGAAAAAAGAGATCACAAAAAAAAGAAAACGAACCAATAAAAGTTAAAATAGAAAATGAACAAGATGGCACCTATTATAATAATTATAACAATAATAATAGTAATATTAATTATGAAAATAATACTTACCACCAACAAAGTGTCATTCAAGCCAATGATCAGCATTCACAATTTTATGAACATGAGCCATACAAATTCACCCATCAAGAATCAAACTATGCACCTTTCATCAATGATGATGTTGAATTAGTACCATCATTCGTAGAATTTGATGAGTCACTTTCCCTAAGCTCTAATCAAAATAATCAAAATATAAATAATATTTTTATCAAAAATGAAATTGAAGTAAAAATATAAAAAAAAAATATATTAAACAAATAAAATATTATTTAAAAATAATATTGTATATATCAGATAATTAATTCCTCAAAAAAAAAAAAAAAGAAAAGTATTTTGAAGAGTATTTTTATTATAAATAAAAGAAAAAAATCATTATAAAATATAAATATCTTTTTTTATTATTTTTTTTTTTTTTTTTTTAATTTTTTTGGGTTGTTGTTGAAATAGTATTTTGTGAAAAAAAAAAAAATTTTAAATTATTTTATAATCTTTGTTTTTTAATTATTATTTTTATATAACCATGATGAATTTTCCAACAGTCTACAAGCCAATTTCTGGCCCAATTGGTGCCAATAGAGGCGTAATTAAATATAATACAGGATCAGGGGGTGGATCAGTAGGAAGCAATGACAATTCAGGTGCCACTAAAGGGTACATTTTAATCAAATTTATAAAATATTAATTTATGATATAAAATACTTATTTTTTTTTTTTTTTTCAGATGGGGAAAATAATTTATTTTTAAATATTCTATTAAATAGAATCAACAATAAAAGATTTAAATATCGTGATGATATATACTTACTTTTCAAATCAATATTAAATAAAAGAGCAATCATATTTTTTTTATCATATTTTTTGATAATCAATAAAATTTGTAATTTAAAATAAATAAACTTTAAAAAAAAAACTATTTTCTATTCTTTTACTTTATTTTTTTAATTTCTTATTTTTATTTGGTACATATAGTTTATATAATATAATTAATATAATATAAACTATTATATTAATTTAGTTGTAGTTCCATTTTTAAATCAGATTCTATATATTTATTATTATTTAGCGGTATTTCAACAAATCCAAACTTTTTATAGAGACCAATTGCTGCAGATAGTTTTAAGTTGGTATATAAAATTACTTTTTTAGTATTTGTTTCCTTAGCTTTATTTATACAGCGCTGCATTAAACGTTGGCCTAATTTTAAACCTTGATATTTCTCTGTGACTGCCAATTTGGCCAATTCAAATGTTTCATCATCGATTCTAATAAGAGACACCGTACCAACTATTTCATCGTTATATTTTGACATAAATATAAAGCCACCACCATCTAATATCATTTCTTTTGGATTATTTAAAATCTCTTCATCAAGAGGTTCAACTGAAACATATTTTTCCAACCATTCATATGAAAGTTTCTTTAAATCTTGATGGTAACATTGATTATAATCTATAATTTCTATATTATTATTATTATTATTATTATTAAAATAATCCATTGTTAGTAAATAATGAAATAAAATATAGCCCTAATCAATAAATTCGAAAAACAATAATGACATAAAAAAAAAAAAAAATAATAAAAAATAAATAGAAAAAAAAAAAAAAAAAAAAATATTTTTTTTTAACAAATTGCCCAAAATAAAAGTAATATTTTAAAAAACTAATATTAAACTGGTTCAAAAAAGGGATTCCATTTTTTATACATATGTAAATAACATAGGGATTTTTTGAAAGAAAGGATTTTTTTTTTT